AAACAGAGCTCTGTTGTTGCAAAATTATGAGCTGGCAGGTGATAAAATGTGGATGAGTGCATCCCTAGATACAACACACAAAACCCAGAACCACAACTGCATAGGTTAATGGAGCAGGTAAAGGAAGGGTTAAGTACCCATTTTCCTGCTCTGTTTCTTTCAAGACACTCTTAAACACACAAAATGCATAAGCAGCCAAGAAATCACACCCTTCTGGTTTAGCATATTTCTGAGGGTTATTTCTGCCTTCAAGACAAAGGGTTTGAGCTCAAACTGGAGGATGACAGATCGAGTGTGCCTCTGAGCGTGTGTGTGTGAGTGTGTGTGTTTGGTCAGGATAATTAGACCTTGTGCTTTGCTCCCTGACAGTTCTTTAACCACAGGTTTGAGGCGTAATGAAACTACACAGTCACGGACACTAGACTGACACACCGCACACAAATGGGCACGTAGACCATACTGAGCACATTCACAGATGTCTCAAAACAAACACACACAAATGATCGTGCATGCCCTGTGTAAATGTTTAACCGACACACAGATATGGAGAGATTCTGAAAGAAGATAAGGACAAACTATTTTAAAAGCACAAAATGATGAAAAAACAGTCCCTGGATTAAATATTTCACTGTTCAAATCAAATAAATCACTAATATTGTACTTAGTTTACAGTTTAGTGTTCTACTTATTTCTCTGGGCTAAAGAAATATGTGAAGTAAAACTATGTTTATGAAATAATATATTCACAGATATCGTAAGTCTCAATCCTTCACAGCAATATGCAGCCTTTGACTTGCAGTCAATGTACCTGAACTGAGTTCCTCTGTGTTTACAAAGTAGAAGTAGAAGCATAGAGGCAGCGAACACTTTAAAGACCAAGTGAAACAAAAGCGAAAATAAACCTCAGTATTTTATGTGGTATTGATTTACCAATCCTCTCTTTTTTACCTTACTTGTTTTATTGTGAGAATTATTTGGTTTTCACTTGTTAAATACCAATTGTGATTATCTGTTCAAAACACTATAGTTTCTCAACTGTATTGCATTCCTTTAGACCTTATGTTCTATAACCAAAGAAACAAAGGTAGATGAAGTGCAGCCATCCATCCCTGGGTTAACTAAAAATTTCACTCAAAGAAATTTTCTAAAATCACATGAAACTAAACAAGACAAACTCATAAGTGGTTTACTTCTCTTAGAATCTAAAGCTAAATATCAACAAGAAAATTTCACCTCTAATTTGCTTAAATCCAATTCACAGTTAAGCTACACTCGGCTTTGGAGATCAAATATGTTTTAAGTAGGTTATGACAACCGGTCTGATTTTACACAGCCATGGAAAGGAAGTGTAAAACAACTACGGATGCACTCGGTACCATTATGTAATACACTTCCATTTTTTAGCCCATTTTGATTTTGTTACAAAAACTATAACATAAGAAAACTGCATTTTAAACATGTATGGATTTCACCTAATAATCTCTCCTTAGTGTCCCATTCTAACAATTAACAAGATTGGTATAACTTGTTTTCCATAGAATCTGAGTTTCACTTTTTTGTCACCAGAGGTTAAAAGCTGAAACAGACTGACTTTATACTATCAGTTTAGCCTTCCTGTTACTTGCTAAGGTCTCACTCTCTCTCACACTCACAGTCTTGATTTTTTTTAAAAAGAAAATACAAATTTCCATCAAACGACTGTGTCTGCATACTTTCTCACTTCACCATGAAAAAAGCAAAAGCTGTTCAACATTAACTTTTGGACCAACATTTTTTATGGAGCCTACTTCCTCCATACCAATGTGGCGAGCTTGCTTTATGATACTTTTGCTCATGGGATTGCTGACCAGTCATAATGGTTTTTTGACTTGGGACAGACTACCAAGAGTATGATCTTCTTTGTGACTGAGTTCAAACTGGAAATTGTGACACACCTTTGGTCAAGTGATACTTGAGAAATCTATAAAGATTTTACTGGGGTTAAGAGGACCATGATTTATGTTGTCATTGGTTAACAGCGTCAGCTGATTGTGCAATTAGGTAGTCTTTGTGGCATAGCTGTTTAGGAGGTCAGCATCTAGAGTTCATTTAATAAAGTTTGTGATTTTTCACTTGGGAAAATGTAGTTTGCAGTCATGAGCAGAGCTTACGTCACCTCCTTAGATCTGTTTATGCTTTTAAAGTGTACAATCTGATCAGAAAAATACCCTTTGGTTCCAAGAGTGGAGATTCTTTTTGTCAGGGAGGGGTATTTTATTTATTTTTTAAATTCAAACAAAATCCACTATGTAAATTAAACGTGACTTATCATGTCATACCCTAATAATAAGATTTAATCTTTTTTTTATCTAAAAAAAAAGCATTTTCTAGAATGTGATAAAATTTTATTAAGCTAAAACATGTTTTGAAGCGGATGTTCTCAAATGATGTGTAATGTTGCCTGCAAGAAAACAAGGAACAAATCTCCTTGTTCTGCTTTCTTATCTCTGCCTCCTCATTTTCAACAGCCAGAATGAGTACAAATGTGTGCACACACACTACAGCGACCATGTTCAAAATAGGTTTACCACACAGACGTACACACATGCACACCTCAGATCTTTTTCCATCTTGCTTAATATGCTTCTAGGCGCTGACTCACAGGTTTAACTCACATCTTTCTTACATTCATCCACCCTTTCCCCTGTGTCTTTTGAGCACTGGAATGGCAGCAGCGGGGTTAAACAGCAGCCTTGCCTTTTAATGACTCTTATCAAGCACTGAATACCAGCCCAGAGAATCCTTCACATATGGAGCACATTAAAACTCTTCCTGGTGTAGCGGCACTAAGTGGTTATGATATAAAATGCTGAGGTACAGACCTTTGTGTTTTAGGTTGTAAAATTTGGTCAAAGGCAAACATAAAAAATAGCTCTTATCTAGTAGAGTAAAATGTTGGTGTCTTCCACAGATTGGACTAATGGACAGATGGGAGTATAGCAAAACCACGTAATGCAATGTTTCCAATCCATTGTAAGGAGGCACATACAGTATCACACTCCTACACGTTAACTATAAAGACAAGAGATGTACCAGCAGAAAAAGAAAATTCAGTTTTATATATGTTGGACTATCAGAAAAAAATTGTACAACTTTCAACCTGAGAATTAAGCTTTTTTTTATTTTTTTTAATTAATAAAGCTACTGTATTTGACAGGTCTGATTATTGCAAATGCAGGTACCAGATACTGATTATTGTTATTGTTACCTTCTAAAATAAAGCCCATAGATACTAAAATTAAGGTATTGCTTTTTTTTTAAGGTTCATTTATTTTAAAATGCATTCAAGATTCTTGGTGGGCTTTGAAGCTCAAATCCAGCGGATCTCGGACCTAAATTAGCAACAAAAAAAAGGAACCCCTTGAGAGTTGGAAAGGAATCAACAAATATCATCAAATCTTTTTCATATATTTTTTCTACTGTGACACATTTCTTTTTTTCTTTGATGGCATTCCACAGGGGTAAATGAGACTAAGAAAATTATCCAAAAGATTGACTCCTCTTGCAGCTTATTGGCAAGTCATGCATTTAACAAAACGAATAAAAGTACATTTCAGATGAATCAGACTGCTGAGAAGCAAACTTTAAAACTGTCTAGCAGTTAAGCTTTTGACACTAGGGGAACTATTTAAGCTCTCTGCAGGGATATAAAACTCCTGTCATGCATTTTCTTGACTTTCATTTTCCAGCTCACTTCTCTGATGAGATTTAAGCAAATTTAAGACTCTTCTCTAACCCTTCATCTCTGGATTTTCCAGTTTGCCACAGTAGTCTGCCCTCTGGCAGTAACAAATCTGTGATGATGTAACATGCTGAAGTGTTGCCAAGGAATCAGAAGTCAAGAGGAAATTAGGTATTATTGCGTCTATTCAAATTTACTACAGGGTCTATTCAGTATTCATATACTCCCTGTGATAATCGTGTCTTCAGGGAAGTAATTTTCTTGTCAATGCTGAAATTTAATGTCACAATCAGAAACGGGTGCTATAAGACTCATCAATCTTTGGATTAACTAATCTAATTATAGGGGAAAATATGTAGTAGTGTGTACATTACTGACACAAGATGATAAGTAATGCAAGACAGCAGAGGTAAACTGGAACTAAACTCAAGTTGCTATGAAGATTAAGCTTTTAACAAACACTTCCCTTCATATGCATCCCTACAAGCCAAGAAGTAAGCAGCTTAAAAGGCTGAGTAAGTTATTTAGGATTTAAAAATGTGAAAAGCAAAATAATTTATAGCAGTTAGAGCTTAGATAGGCATATATGTTTCACTTTTTGTTTATTTCAAATTGCTGGAAACCAGAAAAAAACCTTAAGAGAAAACAAATCAATGCATCACTTTTACCTTTGTCTTACTTCTGAATATCATGTGCTTATGACCTCATGAGTACGATCAACTTGGCAGAGAATATTTCCATACCTTTAACTCCCCTTCATACTGTATTCTGAGCTCCACTCCTGTCTTATCCCTCTTTGCATCATTTTTATTTGCACTTTCTTACACTTTTTCTTGTTCTTTTTGCTCCTCTGCTCTAAATCATTCAGCTTTATAGTTTGACTTTGTTTACTTTTTCATCTGCTCCTTTTTAAGTTTTTTTATGGTGGTTGGCAACTAACAATTACAGCCACCTGCTCTCTCATTGTTTTCTCATTATGCAAACAACAATCCAACAGGGTGAAAAACATTTTCTGGAAAAACTTGGCATGCAACCAGAGTGAGCTACTGGAGTAAAGTCAGAGTACACATCATAGGACATGAGTAGGCTATCTAAATATCAAATACATAAGCCATATTCACATCAACTCAATTTATCAACTATAAGACCTCAAAACTCCCATAGTTTCTTTTTATAATTCAGGATGTTTGATTAAGATCACATACACTTATTGTTTTGTACATCTGCATTAATACTGTGCAAATCTTTATATTCACAACAAATGATATAAGATTCTTACCAGCAGGTGGTTGTTATATTCATCTCCGATGGTCCGGAGCTGACGACCAAAGGTTTCTGACTGCATATCCCGTGCTGCGATTCCCTCCCACTCGCTATAGGGTATGGCAGAATGTCCTAGAAAGGAAAACAAAAAACACATATTCAGAAAGGCGCAAAGCATGTTCAGGACTTGGTGAGTCAGAACAGTCAATGCAGTATTGTCTGCAGTGATTAGGTGTTAGATGAGAGTTCCCCTGTCAAATTTAAGATTTTTTTATTTATGATTCATTTAAGTAAAACATGAAAAAAAAAATTATCACACAGGATCTGTGGTTGGGGGTTTAGATTTGAAAACCCAGTCAACCTGAGCATTCGCATATTTTAAATATGACTCCTTACATTAAAGGAAACCACAAAGGAACTAAGCTCAGTGGATGTTTGTACAAAACGTTGTATGATGTTCAGGGATTTCTTCTTTTGACTTATGTCAGCTCTGAGCCACCTCTTGAAATAGGTATTCTTTAACCACAAAGTACCAAGACCCTCAAATTTATTTATCAATATAATGTTTGCATAAAATGGTTAGAGGGACACAAGGACATGTTCTTTCTTCCATTTTTTGTTGGGGTTTTTTCTCATGAGGTTGGGGGAGGCAAAAGATTTAGATGTCCAGAAAAAAAAAAAACTGACTGCAATGCATTACAACAAACATGAACTATTAAGAAAAATAAAGCAATAGAAAAAATGGGAAAACACATTTTTGTTAATATTTATAGTATGCTTTTAAATATATAATTTCTGTTTTGCTGTATTGCGACTATAAACTTGAATATACTAAATGTTTTGGGACACAATCTCTTTAATTATTTTGGAAATCAACAAGGACCATTGACCATTTTCCTTAAACTGATACATAATATTTTGTAATTGTCATCAAACAAAATGCACACCGCTGCACTGTAGTTTGCAGGAGATGGATAATTGTAGAGGATGACAATTATTTATTTACAATATAATAAACAGAACTTGTGTCTTACGGCCAGGATCATATAAAAACACCACAGCTGACCGACTGAGTGTATGTTTATGTCTCTGTGGGCGTCTGTGTGTGTGTTTGAGTGTGTTTTTGTGGTTTATCTGCTATATTTTCAGTCTGAACTACAGTATGACTATGAAAGACTCTGACCTCTTACCGATCTCCGCTTATGACTCATTCGCGCCGTTATGAAACCCAGACTTAATATTTCTAACATCCTTCGATATTGAAGTGACTGATTCAGCAATCAATCCATCAGGCTGCTGACTACGCCGTGCTCGGCTGAAATGATTTAACCTGGGAGATTTAGGGACTATTTGAGAAATTAGCCAGGACTGAAATTTTTCCACTCATCATTTAATAACAAAACAAAATATATGGTCAGAATGTATGAAACGAATGCAACTAAAATCAATATTTTTAAGCTTGATGAAATATATGAATAACAGAGAGCAAAACATTTTTATTTTTCAATGCAGCATTTATAGCGAGAGATTAATAGGAAATCAGAAACATATAAATCAAATGAAAAGAATAAATAATCTATATTACACACTGAACTACACAGAGTTTCTAGAAGTTTCAGATTCACAGGTATGTAGTCATACCTGTAATTATGTAGACATTTCTTTGCATAAGAAGATTGATCTTAACTCTGATTAAGCTGCATGGAAATTAATTTACAGCATTTGACAAAAACCCTTACAATATTTAGCACTTAGATTAGTCTGTCATTGTTAGGGTCAGTCATAGTCCTGACCAATCCTCCCTCTGTTTTTTCACATCTGGGCATACGCACAAGTCCCCTGAAGTTCACTGACAAACAATGTGAGCAACATCAGATTTGCACGCTGACCTCACACACCAATAATAAACCTGTTATAAACCTAGAATAAGAGATTACATCAGCAATTTTAATGAGTTTACTTTTAATATCAATGCCCACTTAAAATGACAAAAATAAAAATGAGATGATGTCATGAGATGCATAGTATGCTAAATGAGTCCTACTTTGACCAGGGTGAGAGTCCTGCTCTGGAAGAAATAAGACATTACACCATTGGGACATTTTGTTTACATCAAAACATTTTAATCTTCACAATGAAATCTTTCCTGAAGGCTGCGATACAGTATAAATTCCTGTGACTCTTAGTGATTTTCAATTACAATGTATTTTTTGCATTTCTACTAACATAAATTATATAATAACATAAGCATTTCATGATTAATATTCCTAAATAAGAAATATTAATAAATGTCACTAGAATACAAACAAATCTGACTTAAAAGTTTTATATTTTTCATGTTTGTCCTTTTTACATCACCAATGGTTGTCCAAATATGCCACTTCAAGACAAATTCTAGATGCTGTTTTGATTTATTAAGATCAGCAGTGGATCTTGGAAATGTAGCACAAAGATCCACAAGCTGTGAGATCTCCTTCAGCTCCTCACATCTAAGTGCTGCAGCGGCCATATCTGACAATGTGCCGATCGACCCTGTTGATGCTTTTGCTTCATCATGTACTTGAATTTGGCGATAGAAAAAGTCACACAACGCATTGCTATAAGATCCAAAATGAGAAAGCGAAAATAAATGTTCACCATTTGTCTATATTATGAAATGAAATTCACGGGGAAAAAAATATTGTTTCTCATATTTTAATTGTTGGTTTTTAAGTTGAAAAACAGATTCGAAATGATGCAGAATTTTATGTTATCTAATTGATTTACAGTTTATGTTGAATTTTATTTTATGCACTACATAGCAATGCATATTGCGCTAGCGCACAGCTTAGACTACGTTCAAATTGCAATCATTAAAGCTCAATCCTGTTTTAAAAACATACTGCAGGGCACATAGGAGGTTTTTATGGCACTAGTGACCTTTATTTGACAGTAGAAAGACAGGAAGGGGGGAGGGTGTTTGGAAGTTGAACCCAGGACAGCTGCATTAAAGTATGACTGCCTCTGTGCATGGTGCACATGTTTTGCACTGAGCCCTTTGGGACCATAGCTAAGAGACTATTTAACTACACAAAACATATCATCTATCCCTGTATCCTTGCAAACAGATTCTTTGTTTAATTTATTAAAGCTAGTTGAAACAACATCCGGTGTTTTTGAATGCCTTACGATTGCAACCAGCTGATCTCTGGTCAGTGGTAGCGAAACAGGAAATAAACAAAGCGTTTCCAGCAGGATGCATATAACTCTACCAGGCAATATTAAATGACCAGCAGTGCTAAGGAATTAAGCTGGAAATAGAACATAGAACACACTGATTAATTAAAATTGCAGGACAAATTACATTAGGATAAAATGCAAGCTTTTTGTTACGTGCTAATCTTAATTTTTATATTTCTTTTATTTCTACAGTTTTAAACATTGTGTTCATAATTTTGTTCATGGTTGATGAGATTGAAGCCCTGGGTATGGACTTGCTTGAGTGGATTTGGAATCAGTGGTTGTTTTTGCATGAATCCCACCATGAGAGAGCTGTGTCTTCTGCACCTGCCACGCCACCCACAAGTCGTAACCTTGATGCAAACCAATAATAAACCATCCCGACTCCCACTATAACCACACTCACGAAAAAAACAAACAAAGAAAACAAAAAAGAAAAAAATCTCAACAAATCTCTAAACTTTATCTACTGATCTATCCGTTTTCCATCACGCTTATCCCTGCTGGGGTTGTGAGGGGTGCTGGTACCTATCTCTGGCAGAGGAGATACGACGAGAAGCGGGGTACACCCTGGACTGGTCATCAGTCTATCGCAGGGCAACACAGGATATACAGCCATTCACGCACACACTCACACCTAAGTGTACATCAATTAGACAACTTGGTTATTATTTTAGGCCGATATATCAACTCAAAGCTAAATCTATCATTGTGCAATCTGGATTAGTATTCTTTTACTTTCATTATAAACATATTAATGTCAAGCAAGAATTGGACTTAAAAAACCTCTCCACATAGTTTCATGTTGAATATCCAGACAACTGATTACTGTTTCTTCGTCCAGTAGCACGAGAAATGACTAAGAGACTGAACGGCAACAACAAGAAGATAAGATGATCCTCCGTAGGGCGTCCAAAACATAAACAAGGAAACATTCATGATAACTGAGGCTTTTATTGCACTGATAACAATACATAAAACGTTGCACCACTGTCTGTATTTTTTCTACCATTTTAACATTGTCCTGGCCAAAGTCTCTGTCTGTGTCTCACAAAAGAGCTGCACCCCTATTTTGACTACTTAACATGTGCACTTAATGAGTGACCTGTACACACATGCAGTCTGGCTTCTTTTGATGGCTATCTGTGCTAGCTACAGTGGAAAAATAAAAGAAACACAATGCAATCTGTTAAGCTAATCACTTCTATTATATTCTCATCTTGAGAATCCAGCACATGAAGCTTCCTTTAGTTATGCTTGGGAAAATATTTTTTTGTTGTTTAAAAAACATAATCTTCACAATAAACAGAAGGAGATATGTTTACCCGCAGTACAATCTGTGCTTATCATTACTGTATTGGAATTGAAATGTACCCATCCATATGCCACATAGAGTAATATATCTCTGCAGCAAGTAGGAAATCTGAGATAATGTAGTGGATCTGAACATGAACATTTTCAAGGGTTTTACTTGATATTGTTTCTAATATCAGCTGATTTTGCCCATATTTTAGTCCTAAGGCGCAGTTGTGTTACCAAGTTACCCAGTCAACAAGACAGTAACTTTAGCCAACAGCACAGCAATTAAAAGGACTTCTTTTGCAGATGGTGCCGATATAAACAAGCCCACTGAAGCACTATTTTAAATCTTGCTGGAGGTGATAGCCTAGCGTGTTTCACTCTGCTTTTTGATCAAATAAACAGTGAAAACAGAAAACAGAGTCACAGCTAAGAGAACTGCTGAAACACCATGAAAATGCCATACTGGTTGTTCTGACATTCAAAATCTGCATTTGTAGATGGTTGAAAAGATCCATCCTTTTTTTTTTTACATCACATCCTTTCCGAGCAGAGACAATCAAAGCTTTTTTTTTTTTTTTTCTGGAAGACTTTGAGTCAGTCCAAAAATAGCCAGAAACTCCTTTCAGATCATACCTCCCTTCTTTGTGCAATATACACGTGCCTTTCACACTGTGTCTCAACACAAACTGTCTTGTTCAGCAGAATATCATGCAGATTATATGGCTGCAATATTTATTGCAAATTTATTGTTTTGCAATATCATGGTGCACAACATGCATATTGCACAGAACTGCTCGGACTGCAGTATGTGCTAGCTAATTATTCATGTACAATGTATTCAGGTTTTGTTTGACTAAAATGATTGTTTTTAAATGCAGCATAAAGGCAACGTGTTGGTCAGTTTATACAATAACCAAGGCAGACACATTTTACCCACTAAACAGCAAATGCAGGACAGAAGTGGCTTTCTTAATAAAGGCTTGTTGCTATGATGGAATGCATTTTTATTCCAAGGAGGTGGATACAATGCTTGTCATTAGCTATGAACCCGTAGCCAAAATATATTAGCACAGTTAAATTAGGTATAAATTAATTTATCAAGAGGCAGATGATTATTGCAAGATTAACCAACATCATCACACATTACATGCTTTTGTAATGTAGGCCAGACCTGACAGACAATGACGTGGATGACTGCAAAGATAACTTTTCTCATATTTAAAGCACTGAAAGGTCATTTAGGGTGAAGGATCAACATACCAAGCTCAGCTAAATTAGAACCACTATAAAAATGTCTTACAGTGTTTTGTTTGTTTTTCTTGACGTAATTCTAACACAGTGGTTCCAAACTTTTCTTGGTGGAACCCCCTGTGATTAAAGAGAAACTTTTCCTCCAACTAATATTTTTGGCAGTTGAACAAAGAGAAGTAAACTGCAGTAAACCATTATGCAAGAAGATACCCTCAAAATTACAAAACTACTTCTTTCTAAGTTTAAAAGTTTATTTTACTGTGTGAATTAAACACTGCCACCTATATAAGCCAAGCCCCTTTAGTTCTAACTTCACAACTGCACATATTTCCAGTAGTGTTGGACCGATACGGATACCAGTATTGGGCGGGGCCCCAATCCAACACTTAAATGGTGGTATCGGTATCGGCAAGTACTATATAGAGCACCGATACCATTTTGAGAGCCAAAAATTTATTCAACTATTGTCACCCATTCCAGGTAGGCAATACAAAGTTCTGATGGATTCATTTTGTATTAGTCTTTTTCCTGCTTCGCAAAGGTAGGCAGCAGCTTGACAAAGCCATGATGGCAATTATTTTACACCCAAGTATTATGCAGTTCTTCATATAAACACACATGCATCAATTTCAAACAGATGGTATCGGTATCGGCCAATACTGCACAGCCGGGTATCGGTATCAGGGCCAAAAAATGGCATCGGTGCAACAATACTTTCCAGTACAGCCTTGAGATCTTGACATTGACCTCTTCAGGGTGGTAGATATTTCGTATGTGTGATGACATATATGATCTTAAAAATGTAAAGGTAATGTTTAAAGTTTGTCTGCTTAAAGAGGCATTAAGGAGTTCTCTAATGACACTGCCACCTGTGGCCAAAACACAGAACTGCAGCATCTTCTGATCGTTCTCTTAGCTCTCGCTCATACTGAACAAGGTTTTTCAATTCTTGCTTTTTCACCTTACTTAGAGTTGCCATAGGGGTCTGAACTGAGATTGGATGCAGGTCGCCTCTAAGAGTCTGCAAAACCCATCTTGAATACAACACTTCAATTGTCTGCCAGTTCAGACCCATGTAACATGGACGTGTTTGATGTCACATCTGCTGTAGTAACATCAGTATTTCAGCCTGATATTGGCTTTTTTTTTATTGTATCAGCCTCAGCCGACACTTGCAGTAGTGCATTCAGCAACCATGTCTTCCATATGCTATCCATTGTGATTCTTTTTTTGTTGAAATTGAAACGTATGTATTGTAACATTTATTATTTAAAACTGGCAGCATATTTCTAGGATCGTTTAAACTGATGTTAAAAAGTGTGGCCTTACAAAACCGGCTTCAGTTTATCTCTACTCTGCAGCATCACATATCCTTTGTGTTTTGCATTAGTCTGTTTTTGTATCTATTACATAATAAAGCCTAAATTCCTGAGATATGTGCAAAATGTACTAAATAGCCGTGCAAATCCTAAGTGGTATTCTGTGTAAATCTATAGTACCATTTTGTTTGGTATACTTTGGGGCAGAAGACAAAACCATAGCTCTTATCACAGAGGGCAGATTGTCCCCTACGAGCTGACTGTGTGCAGTGATGATTATTTAGACAGAGAGTAGGAAGTGACATTTGACCACAAAACGGTGATACAATAACAGTTTTATCCTAAGAGATATACTGCCATTGATTCTTGCCAGATTATATTCAACAGGATGTCCTGTCTGGCTAATTAGCACATTAGTCTTCTTTGCTGGACTGAATGTTTGCTATACCAAACTAATGTATATTGTGGGGTCTCTAAGAAAAAAAAAATTAAAAGAAAGTGTTGAACTCCAGAGAACACTTTGGTACATTATCCATTATGCCACTTTTTTTATTGATTTTCAAAGGATTTATGTGAAAATGTTTAATCACATCTAACTCTTTCTTTTGTTGATGCAGCTGACAGTAAAACTGCTGAATCACCATTTGCACTGTTTAGACAAAAGGAGTCGATTTTTTTCTTCTTCTTGGAATACTGACTGATGAGTTACTTTAGGGAGGCCTGGATTACGCCACGCCAAATGAGCAGAGAGAGAAAAAAACACCCATTTCTTGAATGTCTGTATTAAAGTGACATGCTTTAATTCATGTTCACATTTTGCTTGTGACATTAGTGTTTCAGAAATATACAAACTGCATGTCTGGGAGATCCTTTAATGGGCTAAAAGGCTGAGATGAGGCATATATTAGTCATTGAAGTCAAATGTGTAAAAACATGAGTAACACTTTTTTGAAAGAGTAGTAAATGGTGAAAGATTTTAGTTATCCCTCAGGAGTAACATTCCAACTCACTTCCAAGAATAGTTCATCTGTTTACTATCATTATCAGCCCCACAAAATCTACAGTATAACTAGGAATCGGTGGAGGAGTGGATGCTGGGCTTCTGTCTGGTTTCATATTTTACGTGCACACCCACACAGAAACTGCAGCCAGTGAAAACATCTAAAGCATCATATTGCGGTCAGGTCTTTAACTTTTATGTGCAAAACAGTTTCTTCGTATTTTCATATCATCACTTATCTTTAGACCAAATAAACACAATTAAAGAGTTTACTAAATGAATGTTCTGAGAGTTTCCCTGGTTGATGCTGTATTTTAGGTGACCTATTTTAATTTAAAAACTCCAAAAAAAACAAGGATAGGATTAGGCAATATGATACACTTAAAAAAACATTACTTGGTTGCTATAATATAACATTAACGATTACTATCTTGAATGAATTCCTTCCTAAATATATTGAGATGAATTGAATAACAGATGTAGGTTTGGTCCAGCAGCGGTGTCCTGCAGAGAATTGGTAAGGCTAATTTCCATATGGGTTGTGTTGCTAATGAAAATTTGAATTCAGTGAAAGTCTAGAAGCATGAGGTTGGGAAATTTTTCTTGTAGAGAAATAAGTTAAGTTGCAATTTGCAGTTCTTAACCCTGAGTTGGTTGTTGCACTTGAATTTCACATTTTAGCTGTGAATGTCAGAGAGGAGTTGTGTATTACATGTTATAACTGATTAAAAACTCTATTACTATTTTATTTACATCTGTTTTCTTAATGTCAAAACAATTATTGTTTTGTTGTCGTTTTTTAACAGAGGAATGCAAACCAAGTGTAGTGTTCTGCGTGTTTTTCCTATATAATGGACTAAAATGATTCCCTATAATGGTTATTTTCAGGTCTAAAATTGAAGTATTTAGTAAATTTGTTTTTTACAGTGCATTTCTGTTTGCTCACCGTGCAGCCCGGTCGCTCCCTGTCCACCCTGCTCCACAGCCATTCGCTGCAGGGCGTGCTTCATCACCTGGCCCGTGGGACTGGCAGTCTGTGTGGCTTTGTCAGCCGTCACCGGGTGCGGGGTGAGCGGGGAGCTCGGAAGCGAGTCACAGTCAAAGGAGAAGTATCCGCTGGATGAGCGGCGAGTAGGGCGGAAAATCGACCTGCTTCGAAAGACGTCTAAACTGGCCGGGCTTACGGAACAGGGCGGCGAGTCCGAGTCCGGATCCCTTCCTCCTCCTGCGGTGCCAGCGGCGCCCGGCTGCTGCGCGCAGCTCCGCTCTCTGCGCTTCAACAGACGTGGTTTTCGCGCTGAGGCTGCTGGGTCTCCCTCGGTCCCCTCCTCTGAAGTTACTTCGGTCGAGCCATCGCGCAGGTTTGGCGGTCTGTTGGATGAACAGAGCGTCACCGTGAGCGTGGGCTTTCATCCCTTTGCACGGAGAAATCAGCCCCTGTGCTGCGTCTGGAGCTGCAGCTGAGCAGCGCAACTGCTGTGTCACGATTAGACTTTGTTCTGCAAATCTTTATTTTCAGAAAGGCTGAATTACAGCAATTTTATATTCATTTAACACATTACTGACCTTTCTAGCGTCTTGATAGGGGAAGTCAGGGTTCCACCTGTGAGTCTATCTGGCTTCTTTACTTTAGTCCCTGTCTACAGCACCTGATTCCCACACAATATTTTTCATCATATACGGTAAAACCAATTTTTTTTCTCAAAACTCAAGTTCAGAGAGTTTCTATTGTTTGTCAGAAAGTGCTGATCATGGCAAATGATTGTTAAACTTTGCTGTGGAGAAAAAAAAAAAAAAACAACAACAACAAATTTGACATGTAGGAAGCGGCTGGTGTGACATAAACTGCGTCACAGACATGACAGCCGGAGACAAACTTCCTCAAGGGAAATATCAGGAAGCTTTTTATGGGATCTCCAGAATGTGTTTAATTAATTGAAATTCTATAGCTGCAAGTCTAACACAAGGTTAGTTAAGATTAATCTTTAAGATCTGTATAGATTTGCATGTGCTGTTATGTTTATTTTAGAACTATCTCCGCATTTTACGCGCAATAATTTAATAACCATTGTCTTTTGCGCACGCAGAGACAGCTACTGCGCTTGGCCAGGACGCGACGCTTTTTGCTCTGGAAGACACATTCTCATAATTTCACCAATCTTATAATGATTTGTACGTCTGGACACGATAGGATCTAAGCACGACGAGGAGCTGGAAGGCTGCCTGTGGAGCAGCTGGCAACATAGAGAGAGAGAGATTGGGAGACAGAGGAACAGGACATGGTAAAAGGAAGGAAACACAGTGAGCGTCTGATGAAATGCTGACAGAAATCAGTCCGAAGTGCACTTTAACGCCATCACCGCATCCTCAAAGTAGAGTTTAATAATTATTATTTGTTGTTGTTGCTATTTAAGAAGGGGCAAGGAAGGCTCACGATTTAAGAAAAAAAAAAGATACAATGGCCGGTCGATCATGCGAAGTTGCAAACCTGGATTCTGCTTTAGTTTGTGTGCGCCTCCCACAGGACAGCGCACATACTGTATGGACTTGGTATTGTTAGGTAGGTGGAAATGCAATTGTGAACAATGTCCGCTATCACCAGACATAACACCAAAAAAAAAAAAAAAAACGTGGGCATGCTGTGTTGCCTGAACCTGATGACCCGGGGAATTAAACGTTGCAAACTGCAACACCAGCAGATGCTTCTTAACATCAGCGTGTCTATTTACTCCAGATGGGAAAATATAGAATCTTTGCGCAAAAATCTTCCATCACACGGCAGACTATTGGTTCAAAAATCTTCCATCACACGGCAGACTATTGGTTCTAAAAAGCAGAAAAACTGAAGCGCTGTTATGGTCCACCAAATAAAGCAACGTTTATTCTCAAGGTGGCAAAACATACTATCATTCAGAAACTTTTAGTCAAAATCCTTTACCCCTGGTGCAACCCGATCTGCGCCTGAAGGGTAGACAAATAATCGGAGCTGGAGCGCGTCGTTCCTACCCGGCAGAGGTGAGCTGAATAACGCGCTATTATTCATCCTTCTGACAGCTCAAACAAAGAATCCTTTCCTTCAACTAATAACCCACTAATATTAGTAACTAATGTGTAATACCACAAGGATTATAGATTCATTCAGTCATTTTATACAACTATTACAAAAAATGCAATGATAACCCATTTTACAGCCTATATTAAACTATTACTGCATGTATTCATAATTATTTTCTCTTTGGAATAAAGCGACTGTTGATGCGTAATTGCGCGAGATTGCAGCGCATTCACCATAAAGCCGGCATGAAGCGGCGGCTTATTATTGCAATTAAGCAGCAGCGTGACAAACAACCCACGCACTCACTTTACGCACGTTGTTCTAAACTTACCTTGAAGATTGCATGTCATTCATGAGACATCACCGTAATTTCCCAATTTATACGGTGGAAACTTGACTCTAACCCCCACAAAAAGAGAAAAGAAAAATAGGTTGTGTGACTTCCAATGTGGTCCTCAACTCCAAAATTGTCAACAATAAATTCCAAGGATGAAATACAAAAGAAGGGAAGCAGTGGAACAAAAGGAGTAAATTCCAGTGTCGGTTAAGGGAAAATGGCTCCAAAGTGGATGAATAGTCGGTGTGAAAAACTCTACCGGAGGAGGAGGTAAACAAACTACCTTCTTTTCCGCTCTCTCTCTCTAGATGTGAGAAAAAACAGAGAATCAGGCTTTTTAAAAGGAAGTATACCCCGCCTCTTTTTGCGTCAGGCTCTTAGGTAGCTCGCCGTCGCCCCCTGGTGATGAAACAAACAAGCTGTGAGTAGAAAAGGGAAAGAGAAATGTCACAGCAGTAGGTAGAACTCAATCTTCAGGTAGATATTAAGATTTGCCTCTTCAAACTGTCCAAGATTATGGACTGACTTATTATATATACACCTTTACCTATATACACCTTTATATATACACCTTTAACACCATGAACCAACATAACGTACTGCTTTCTCGAAAGGAAGGGTATGTATTACATATTTTTCAGTGATGTCAAGTAACGAAGTACAAATACTTCATTACTGTACTTAAGTACGCTTTTTAGGTATCTGTGCTTTACTCCATTACTTATTTTTCTTCCTACTTCTGACTTCTACTTATTAAATTTTCACACAGGTATCTATACTTGCTATTCCTTACATTTTCAAAACAAACGTTACTCGTTACTCTTGGCTTCAGTTTAATGTTTATAAATATTTATTTCACGTCATGTGCGCCATCCAATGCAGATCATTGGCTCCATCCACATCTAGTGAAAACTAGTGTAATTGGATGATTCATATAATGCAAACACTCATTGGTTAGCTAAAGGAAATTATCAGAAGCAAGCAGATGTTCTTCAAACTGCAAATGCGAATTGTCTATGCCATGCTACAATGTGGGATTCAGAAAAAGATGTCGAAGATGTCTGAAAGGTCGGACACAAGCGAGAGCGTATCGAGAGATGGAGACCAACAAGACCTCCCTCATCCTTGGCCCTATTTCACAGAATTTTTTGAAAAGGTAGCAAAAATGAGCTTTAAATTCATATAGATTTTGTTAATTCATCTGGCTGTTTTTTTAAGGTTACTTTATTCTTTTATACTTAAAGTAGTTCTTTTGACACCACTGATATTTTTTGGCAAATTAAAGAACAAAGAAGTGTAAATTGCATTTGCCTCTCTGTGCCAGCTCTCAGATCCCTTATTTTACCAAAAATAGATTTTTTTTTATTATATCTCTACTGCGTTCACCATCTAGAGACAATAAATGCTTTTGCATAATTCTAGGGCTGCAACAACGAATCGATAAAATCGATAAAAATCGACTTTTAAAAGCGTTGGCAACGAATTTCATCATCGATTAGTTGTGTCGCGCGATTATTGCGTCATCCGCCACGCCGTCATCACTGCCTCTTGACTGAAAGAGGAAGAAAAAAAAATACGGCAGAGCGAGTCAGCGCCTTAGGTGCAGTGTTGCCAACTCCGCGACTTTTCAGACCCCTCCAGCGACTATTTTTCAAAAAAGCGACTAGCGACAAATCTGGCGACTTTTTTCGGTGTCACTGGCGGCTTTTGGAGACTCTTACGTGAAAGCATGCATGTTCCTACTCTGCCGTGGGGCGCCTCCCCCACCCCAACCGCGTTTTCCCGCAGGAGTCCCTCTCAGTCAGAGCCTCAGCGTCCAGACTGCAAATGAAGCGCGCATGCACCGGGATTGACGGCGCAAATTGATCACAATAATTAAAATAGCCTGCGCTTTGTAAAGCGAAAAAAGTGATAACATGCAACTTTTTTCAAAAGAAATTAACATGGCACGGAACCACCATGTTTGTTTGGTTTTAAAGTGGGGAAACGTAACGTTAGTTTCTCAGGTAGCTCATCTGATGCTTTCCTTACCGTGTTAGTAGGTTACAGACAGTGATAAGGTTGGCTACTTATTTTACTTTTAATTTCATTTGAATTAGTTTAAGCAGCGTTTATATTTACTTTATAAATAAATTAACTTGCAAATTATGAGGGCAAGACTTTTAAAGTTTAAATCTTCTGGCAAAGATAAAGTAAAGATGATCCTGCAATTTATAGAAGTAAAGCAGAATAAAATCCAGCAATATCAGTAATATGTCAATTAATTATATGCCACATTCCCATGTAAATATCTGTCTTTGGAGGATGTGTTTTTTAGCACCCCTAGTTCTCTCATTTTTATTCCAAATACAATTTATAATTTGAATCACAGGGCTATTTTTATCTCTATGGTTCAGTATTTTCTCAAGTAGCAACTTTAACTGCTGTACTTTCCTGTCTTAAAAGGCAGAACTCTTCTAGTCTAAAAAAAACTCATTTGTTGAAATGGGGGGCCTATTGTTTGAACCCCTTAGAGGCTTTTAAAAACAAAAATGTCTTTTTTTGCACTTTATGAAACAAAGTACCCTATATTTTGTGGATGTACAGCTACATTTCTCATGTAAGTTTGCGTAGTTTTAACACAAACATTTATTTTTCATATTGCACCAGTACAGTTAATGAGCAACCTGTACTTGTGTGCTTGTTTGTTCTGTCTAAAATGTTTATTTTGGAATAAAGAGGTTAATATAAAAAATATTTTTTGTCCGATTCATCGATTAATCGAAAAAATAATCGTCCGATTCATCGATTTTTAAAATAATCGTTAGTTGCAGCCCTACATAATTCTTTTTGAAAATCTTAAAATCCAACAACTTTGTGGGAAGTGCACGGAGCTGTGGAAGCTGGTCAGTTATGGAAGGTCTGCAGTTGCCAGTGCTATCTGAGGCTTTCATGGGATTTTTTTTATTATCAAACCCAGCTTTTCCTCACAGTGTAAAGCTAATTTTGTTTGTTTTTAATTTATCTACAGTTCTGGAAGTCAATTTCAACCAACTTGAACAGTTTTGTTAAAAAAAAACCACATTTTTAATCTGCCTAAGTTCTCTGCTTTCTGCTAAATCTTACAGTGTTGGGCTTGATGATTTACCTCCAGCACTACACAGATAAGAAACAGGTATTTGCCAACATATATTGTTGAAAAACCTGCAACACTTTCAAACAAATAAATCACTTGGCCAATTTTAAAGATTTAGGCTAAAGTAAAACTATATTTACTTAACTGAACTAGCAGGAATATTCTATGCATAACATTTTTGACATTAGTGCCCTATGTTAAGAAAACATAGTTGATAAAAAGACATACTAATAGAATTTAACTAGTCAAATGGTTCATGCACACGTGTTGAGCAATTTTTACTGGTTAAATTAACCCTGATAACTTTTTCAACATTCTTAGTCAACTCAATTACTGATTGTTACTCCCTGGTTTATGATGATAATAATGATTTCGGATTAATTTATAAATGCTTCGAAGATTGTAATAAAGCTTTCATACATATTCTCCTAAGGGGAAATGTGAATTGTTGTTCAGTATCATCTTGGTCAGGGACTAGAGTTGGAACTATTATTTTCATCCTTAATTATTTTAATTAATCTGTATTAGATCATTTATGAATTTAGAAAATATTAAGTTGATTAAAGGATTTAAAAATAATTCATATCCACAATGACTGTAACAAACAAGATGCAGCCTGACAAAATGTGATTATTTATCATTGGTAGAGGTAGGTAAAAACCTGTTACATTTGAATAGGTGAAAAATAAGTGTGATTCCTAAGAAGTTTAAGATTAATGGTTTGTCCATTGTATTTTTCAGTTACAAGCTTAAGACACTTCTGAAATTCGTGCCGTAAAGTTTTCATTTTGCCAACTTTTGAAAAAGCCTGCATTGGTGGGATATGGCTATTTTTAAACCTGACTTTTGCCTTATAGTCTTACAGTCCATGTGTCTCTATCTCACTATTTTGTTAGTATTTTATTAGTAAAAATCCATAAACAATGTCGTCTTCAAAAATAAGTTTATAGATTTAGTTCAGTTGGGCATGTGTAAATTATTTCCAATCCTATGGCGCACTCTCTGTCTTAAAATAACACGATGAACATTAACAGCAACAATATTAGCTGCAAAATACTTTGTTAGCCAGATGAAATTTCAAAATCAAGTGTAATCTCTTTAAATCATACACTGCTGAAAATAGATCATTTAGCAAGACTGACAATTTAAAAGCAGCAGCAGCTTGATACATCTCATATTTTCACAGTTATGAATCATTTGAAGAGTGGTGATAAAACATTAACATAATGACAAAAGTCGTAGGCCTACTTATGGAAAATATGTAATTCAGAGACACTTTTTTGTGGTGATGTGTGTTTTTTTCTGGGGAGAACTTCTAGTGTGTAATCGTGCATTAGAGTTTCTGCATTCACTAATGTAGTAAATGGTGCTTCTAAGTCATACTGATCTGTGACTTGTTATGAATGGAGCTGGAGTTATGAATTACTCATTAGGTTTAAAGCTCTCCCTAATGCTATGACTCAAACCGCTGAATAACTCAACCTTGTCAGTTTCACACTCTGCAAATCTTCCCTTTTTTTTTGTAAGTTACTTTACAGTACAGTATTTTATTGTTTATCTTTTAACTCTTCACTAATATATTATTCTTATACATTTTTCTAAGGTCCACATTTGTGTGACAGTTTTTTCTATAATCTTTTTACTGCTGTAAACAACAGAATTTCCCCCATTGTGGGACAATAAAGGGATTTTCTATTCTATTCTATTCTATAACTTTTTTCTAAGTTACAAAGAGTAGGTTGGTTTTATTTTAGGGGAATTTTTTATTTATACTTATTTAAAAGTGAGATGATGTTATAAATTGGCGCTATATAAATAAACTGAATTGAATTGAAATTGTTTATATCTTTTTCACATTTTATATCCATAAGAAACAAATGTCTTTATTGTATAAAAATAGTTTTGAATATAAATCTGTTAGGCGTATGAATAAATGCCTTAAAAAAATAAGGTAGGTCATACTCCATGCATACTACGGTAATAACAAAAAAAAAACAACCAATGACATTATTTCAAATATATGAGGAATAATGACACATCAAACCAAACCAAAGCACCAGACCATGAAAGCGTATCAGTATATTTCATGGCCTGTATTAAAATATTTTCACTTGCAAAATCTACCAAATTCTTCTTTTGCTTTATTATTGTATTACAAAAACCATTTTTTAAATATTTTTTT